AAAGATGACCCACATATCATATGCATACAGGAGACTAAGCTTAACGAAGCTAAAATAGAAACCCTGCGCAACTGGTGGACTGGACCCATCATTTGGGCCCCAGCGGACGGTTCAAAAGGGGGCGTAGCAATACTTATCCACAAAGATCTCGATGCTCAGATCCTCGATACACATAAGGACCCAAACGGCAGATGGGTCTGGGGGAAATTGGCGGTTGGGAAAGAGGACTGGGCGTTCATGTCCGTATATGCCCCGGTGGAGTATGCAGAAAGGATTAATTTTTTCGCTACACTCCCAGCCCATCTTCCTGATGTAGAAAATCTGGTAATCGCAGGGGACTGGAACACCACCTTTCACCCAGGGTTGGACTCCCCGTCCCCAACCCCTATTCGCCATGATGCGCATATGCTAACCAACTTTATGGGAGCCCAAGGGCTCACGGATATATTTAGAACCATGCACCCGGTGACACCAGGCCACACATGGTATGGGCCCAAACAAGCAACCCAGGTGCTCCCGCCCAGTAGAAGACTGAACTTCATCCTCGCAAGGGGAGCGGTGTGGGACAGATGCATCTGGAGTGACCTCATAAATGAGCATCTCTCTGATCACTACCCGCTTGGCATGGAAATATTAGCGTTGGAACAGTTTGAAAGGGTGAGACCCCCTTTCCGGCTAAATACCAGGCTGCTCAAGGACCCTGGCATTCCTGCTTGGGTAAAAGATCAGATGTCCAAATGGCTACTGGCGAAAAAACTGTTCTCACATGAGCACTCCTGGGCAGAAACAGGGATCAGCATTGTGTCCACAGCCCTAAAAACATTTTCAAGAATGAAAGCAGCAAACAAAACTTGGTTGGAGCTCAAAATCCGCAGGAAAATAGTGGAGGCAGAGCAAAGTATGGGGGAAGATGTCTTCTCTGATCATTACTGGTCCAATCAAAGAACGGAGAATATAGCACTGTTGGAAGCGCTGGAAATAAAAAAACAAGAAGACTGGTTGCTATGGTTAAAGATGAGAGGCCTGATTGGTTACGACAGAATGACAAAGGATACATTCAGAGCCCTCATCCTTAGCCAGACAAAACCGGTTATCCACGAGCTATCCCACCCATTCGTGGTAGCAGAACCGGTTTCCTCCAAAACAAAAACCATGTGTGAATATACTATGGCTTATTTCAGGGACATTGTATCAACAAGGAGACCCCAAGACTCGATGTTGACGGATCTATCATCCATCTCTCACTTTTGGGATCCAATACAAACCACTATACCCCACTCAGCGAAGACTGCACTGGACGCCCCTCTTACAATAAATGAGTTACACAATGCAGCGAGGAAAATGGCAAGCGGAAAATGCCCCGGGGTAGACAGACTACCGGTGGAATTATTTTTGTGCGCATGGGATGCCTTTGCGCCTTTCCTCTGCCAAATATACAATAGCACCCAATCGTCCGAGTCTCTCCCCAAGGGGTGGCTGAAGGGGGTCATCTCCCTCCTGTACAAAAAAGGAGATAAGAGGGAAGTCAAGAACTACAGATCTATTTCAGTGCTGAATGTAGCCTACAAGATATTAGCTAAAGCGTTGGCCTTAAGATTAGCAGATATCCTGCCAGGGCTAGTAGGGAGGGAGCAAGGCGCTTTTGTGAAGGGGAGGTCGATATTCGACAATATATTGGYTACTGTTCAGGCCCTGGAAATATTGGACTCAAAACAAATGAACATAGCTATTATCCTATTGGACATGGAGAAAGCTTATGATAAGGTAGGGTGGGCCTTTGTTACCACTACCCTACGGAAGATGGGTTTCGGGAAAGGATTTATCACATGGGTGAAAGCAATGTACGCGAATGCCTCATCAATGGTAATGGTGAACGGTAAACTGTCAAGATCCTTCCCGCTCACTAGATCTCTAAGGCAAGGGTGTCCTCTTGCCCCTCTTCTCTTTGTCGTCCAACTGGAAGTCCTGATGGCCAACATAAGGCATAACGACGCCATAGTGGGACTGAGTATCCCCCACTTAATCCAATGGAAAGGGGGAGCGCTGGCAGACGACCTCACATTAGCATGCTCAAACACTCTACAATCAATGACGACATTGAGATGTGTACTAGATGAGTACTGTGTCCTGTCGGAAGCCTCCATCAACTGGGAAAAATCGACTTTCTTCCTTCCTGACCCTTTCGTAATCTGCATAGACTGGGGCCTCAAGGAAGTCCGGGCAAACAGCTCGAAAAGGTTCCTGGGGGTCCCGGTATCCCTTAGAGATAGCTCAGGCACACAAGACGCCATCCTGGTAGAAAAGGTCACCGCCAGGATATTAGGCTGGGCGCGCAACTTCAGACTGTCCCTCTTCGGTAGAGCGCTGGTCATCTCGTCAGCGGCCTTTGCGATCCTCTGGTTCCCCTTATCAATTCATCTGCTTGGTAAAGACGCATGTCGGAGAATCAGATACGTGGCGGCCAGATTCGTGTGGAAACCTGCGGCGTCGGACACCCAGGGGTATATCAGCAAACTGGCATGGGAGACGGTGTGCTTCCCTAGGGATGAAGGGGGCCTGGGAATCCTGGACCCAATCCAGCAAAATTTTGCCCTATTGGCTAAATGGCCGATACGTGCCATATTCGACAGAGAGGATAAGGAATGGAAGGCACTGGCARTTTTCATACTGATGGAGGAATGGGATTTAGTTCACCCTTCCCATGTCTGGCTGTGTTTTTTCATTMAGTCCTACTGCAACAGACAAGTAAAATCAAAGATTTGGAAGAACATACTAAAGGCCTGGAACAAAGTTAGACCGRCCCRGATAGAAGAACCGTCCTCCAGATCGCARATACTTAATGAGATTCTGTTCGAGAATGACAGGATCACAGACYCARAAGGGAAACAGTTTATGGCTGATTCCTCCCTGGGTACGTTYGGCAGATCTTGGATTGAGAAAGGAATCATCCAGATCAGGGACATCTGGGACCAGCAGACGGGAGACTGGATAACCTTAGAATCCTTAAGGACTAAAGCCCCTAGACTACATAACCTGGATCAGAACTACAGCAAGGTTAAGTCTGCCATCCCCCAGCARTGGGTGACAGCACTAAAGCCCAACTCAGACTGGGCTCTGGGGACATGGCTGAGAGATCCAGTAGTCACCAATGTCCTATGGAAGATCCTGGGGCCTGACCTGCGTGCAGACATCAAGGCCCAAAAATGGACCACCCACTCCGGGGGGCAAGTAGAAGGTCCCCTCACATTCAAGGACGAGGGGACGATCTCCCCCACAGCRKAGTGGGAGGAAGTAAGGGTTATGGAAATCCAGTCCTCCAAAGAGCCGAAATGTACACTGCTCCCATGGGTAGGGGAAGCTCTGAGTATGGAACCCCTCATACAGGGTTGGCCACTCAGTTCCCTAATACCCGCGAAAGGGAAAAATCACTCGGCAGTCCCAATCATCAACTACAAGCCTAAAACAGGGGTGATATGCCTGAGGGCAGGTAAAAAGAAAAAACCGCTGACAAGGTTAAAGGAAAAAGCAACATCATTACAGTTAACAATTCAAAAGGACAAGGATCTGTTTAAATTTTGGAAAGGGCTGAAGCGTCTCCCTTCACAAAGAAATGCAGCCTTAATGTGGCTGCAGTCCATGAATGTTACAACTACGGCAGTCTGGCTCAAGGAACGGGGCCTCCCAATATCTGCCRCATGCRTCAGATGTAACTGGGCATGGGAAACGGCCCCCCACCTTTGGTTGTTCTGCCCCAAGGCTTCTGAGATCTGGGAATGGTGGAAGGACAGATGGAGGAACACGGGTAGAAATGACAAGGATTGGGCAGACAACTTCATCCTACAAGGCATAATGGAACATGAGGGCCCATTAACGAGTGGTACGAACTATATTCTATACACCTGCAGGGGAATTATCATGGAAGCCATATGGTGGGCAAGGAACGACCTCATCTTCAAAGGAGAAACCAGGGCCAAGAATCACATTTGCAACAGAATCCTTTCTGAACTCAGGACCACGGTGTTGTCAGACTGGAGATGCAAGAATTTCATTTGGTTTGGCAGGACTTGGGCTCACAAAGGTTGCTTCGCTGTCATGACGGCAGACGGCAACATGACATTAGCCAGCTGGCTAAAGACCACTTGTTAGAAATTAGTTGTACATCCTCCCTCTGTTTCCGTTGGTTGTTTGTTTTCCAGTTTCTTAGTCCAGTTGAAACGTTTTCCTAATGAAGGGTAGTTTTTATGGGACGCTGGACCCGGTTTCCAGCTGAGCCTAAGCTGGGTGATGGCCCCAGTTTTCCTCCGGGTTGTCATGTGGAGGTTTTCCCGGCCTCCAACTCCTTTTTTTTTGGAAACAAAGGTACTGTCTTTCGCAAAAAAATAAAAAAAAAAATAAAAATAAATTGGAACGATACAGAGAAAGGAAAAACGATACAAGGATGACACGCATAAATCGAGAAATGGTCCAAATTAAAAAGAAAAAGAAAAAAAGAAAGGAAAAACAAGAAAAAACAAAGGGGATAAAAACAACTCCGAGCATGTTCCCTCGTTGGAGGCTTGAGCACGGGGTTCCCCGTAATACTATAATTACAATGACAACAATAAAAAAGGCCTGAAATAAATAAATAAATAAAAAAGCCCTGAATGGCCGTCCTGTCCAGATTCGACAGGAAGTAGCCACGTTGGACAGCACTACCACTTTCACCTCCTCCTCCGCGTTTGAATAAGGGTAATAGGGGTATTTTACTGTTTTTTGGGGTCTGGCCTCGACAAGGGGAGGCAAGAGCAGAGGAAAAGGGCTGGGGAGTCCACTACGCTTGTGATCATACTCAACCTTTGTTCTGTGTGTGTGTGTGTGTGGGTGGGTGGGTGTGTGCGTGTGCTTGTGCGTGTCGAGGCTCTGTCACTGTCTCTTTCTTGCAGCTACCTGGATATGGCTTGGAGAGCTACCTGGAATGAGGTGCAGCTTGTGACGGCCAGAATCTCGCACATCAGTTAAACGACGGCCAGAAAAGTGAACTCATCTTGTGCAGTGCAGCTCAAGGGAGAGGGGGGAGGCTAAGGAAGCGGGGGGGCCACAAAAAAAGAGAGAGCGAGAGAGAGAGAGAGAGAGAGGAGGGACCAAGATGGCCGCTGGGACTGACGCGTGGCGGTTGTGTGGGCCTTGCGCGGGCCCATCGTCAACGGCTGTCCTAGAGGCGAGCGGGAGACCGGTTGCAGACAGCACTGCGCGCCATACGGCCAGCTTCTCTCCACAGTCCGTAAATGGTTATAGTATTACCCCGAATCGATCTCAATCCCAATCTCAACCTCCATCGGGGATCCCGACCAGCCGATGGTGCTCTCTACTTCCTTTACCGGCGAAACGTTTGTCGGCAGTTTTCAGGCCATCGGCCTCAAAGAGGACGTTTGACGTTCGCGCGAGTGACGCTTCATCACTCGCTTCACCATCGCCATCGTCTTCTTCCTCCTCTTCCTCCCCTTCCTCGTCTTCCTCCTCCTCACCACCATCATCTACGTCGACATCGGATTATATATCTCCGGCTATGTTCGTTGGACCTGATGCTAATCTCGCATTGCGGAAGGGAGGGGCACCTTTCTTCAAGAATGTAGGTGAGTGCAAAAAAAAAAAAAAAAAAAAAAGGAAGAACAAGAAGAAGAAGAAGTAGGTGAGTGCACTTAAATAAATATAAACATTAAGTACAGTGAGTGAAAAAGTTAAAACGGAAAAAAAAAAAAAAAAAGTTAAAACGGTACATATCCGTTAAAATTGGAACGATACAGAGAAAAAGTTAAAACGAGACTCTCGAATACAACAACGGATATATTGGGCCTGGCTGCACCACTCGGCACACGCCAACATTCTGAATGTATTTGGACAAGAGTAGGTCCTGATACATTCAAAATTTTGGCGTTTGGCGAGGGGTGCGGCGAGGCCCATTGCTTCGAGCATGCGTAGAAAACACGGACATACGGTAATTCCCTCACTTCTATTTTTTTTCTTTTTCTTTTTCTTTTTTTCTCTCTTCAAAAGTCCAGGTCAGCCGGTGATGATAATATAATAAATCCTTTTTTTCCTGTTAAAAAAAAAAAGAAAAAAAAAGACAGGTTTTATGTAGAGGTGGGATTGTACCTTCTATAATGACCGTACGTTGTATTCGAGGGAAGAAGGTAGTAGGCAGACGATAGTCACCCCACAATAATCGCCATTCTTTTGAGGGGTCCAGATGCACCCCTCTAAAGACCCCACGCACCCTTCCTCTCAATTTTTTGTCCTTTCTATTTTCAAAGAGAAAGACTACGAGAGCCGCGCCCCGCTACTCACGTCATGACATTGTGCAAATTGAGAATGAATCTTCCGCTAGAACATTGGAAGATACACCGCCATTTTTTTTGTCTTTTGTGCATGTGGTGGTGAGTAGTGGAGCGAGGCCCCAAGTCCAGTTTGCTGTGCTTTTGCAGGTTGATGTCCTCAATTAAGTAATCAAATGACGTATTATTATGCGAATTTGTAGTAATTTTCGCTGTTTTGAATAACGTAGATGTGCTATAGCCTATAGCTGTTTTTTTTTTTTTTTTTTTTTTTGGGGNTGTGTGTGTGTGTGTGTGTGTGTGAGAGAGAGAGAGAGAGAGAGAGAGAGAGAGAGAGAGAGAGAGAGAGAGAGAGAGAGAGAGAGAGGTGTTTTTGATGATATTGTACAGGTTGTGAAAAAGACGAGAAAAGGAATTTTGTGTTGATCTTGTAAGCGGAGGAGGAGAGAGACGAGGAAGAGAAACTTTGGGAGCGGGGATATGGACTGGCAAGAGGCAGCCCGCCTGGTTTTTTCCCGTGTACAGGCTCTTGACGCGGAGAATGTGTCTAAGATAATAGGCTGGTTATTGATGCAAAATAGGGCGGAGAAGGAGATGCTTCGGCTAGCCTTGGCCTCAGAGACTGTGCTCCGAGCGTTGGTAGTGAAGACGAGAAAAGAGTTGGGGATAGTACAAGGAGGGGAGGAGCGAAAACAACAACAGCAACAACAACAACAACAACAACAACAACAACAACAACAACAACAACAACGACAAGAAGAAGAAGAAGAAGAAGAAGAAGAAGAAGAAGAGGAGGAGCAAGGACAACAGCCTGCGAGTGGCCGGGCTGCGTTGCAGCAGCATGTAACCACGGTGGGGGTGAAATTACGGGGCCAAGGCTTATGCAAGGGTAATTATAATCCATCCTCACGCGGTTCCAATCGAAGGCGAAGTCATCAAAGTGATCTGACGTCAGTGGAGGAGAAACGACAGCAGCAGCAGGCCCAAGAGAGCATTCAGCCATCGGCGCCGCATCTCGGAAATCGGTTATGTCGTGAGTCTTCTCGACGGCCCGCATCATCAACAGCGGTGTTGGCAACAGCAGCAGCAGCAGCAGCAGCAGGAGGAGGAGGAGGAGGAGGAGGAGGAGGAGGAGGAGGAGGAGGAAGGAAGGCGGAGAGTAGTACGAGGATAGGACGGTTTCCCACCACTTCCATGGGTCTGTCCGTCGTGCATTCGCCGACAGGGATGTTGACGTCAACGAATGATTTGTCATCCCATCCCCATCCCCTGACGTTGATCCTGCCGAGTAGGCAGGGTCAGACGGCCCCCACCCTCCAGCCACAACAGCAGCAGCAGCAGCAGCAGCAGCAGCAATGGACTGCTGCATTGCAACAAGGGCAATTAACGGAAGCAGCGGCAGCGTCAATGACCCATCAACAGCAGCGGTCGCAGCAGCAGCAGAAGCAGAAGCAGCGAATGTCGAATGTAGGCGTATCTGCGCACGCAATGGGACATAGTAATAATCAGCATAATCATAATCATAATAATCATCATAATGATAATCATCATAATCATTATGATCATCATAATCATCATAATCATCATAATCAGCAGCAGCAGCAGCACGAGACACAGCTGCGGAAGGAAGACGATCTGTTCTTCGACGCGGACGAGTTATTCGCGGCCGGATTGAATCATCACAGTCCATCTTGTAGGTCGGGAGGCGGAGGAGGAGGAGGAGGAGGAGGAGGAGGAGGAGGAGGGAGGATCATCTCCGCCGGAGAGGTCATCTCATCGCCTCTCCAGCATCAGAATCCGTTTTCCCATCATCATCATCAGCAGCAGCGGCAACAGAGCTTGGCTATGGATACCATCAAGATGCCGAACGCCATAGCCATTGATGATGGCGATGGCCCCGACGCGACCGCCCCCCATTCTCAGGCCTATTTCGCCTGGAAGCCGTGCCTCTTTTTCGCGAAAGGGTATTGCAAGCATGGCTCCAACTGTCGTTTCCTGCACGGTTCCGCTAAAAACGGTACAGGTTCATCCAGCGGTGGACATTTATCCTCCGTCGCCGGCTGCGGCTCTGGCTCTGGCTCTGGCGACAGCGGACCTGTTCGGAATCCGACATCAGGTGGGAGTCCTCCACGTGCTGGGGGTGATGGCTGCAGCGATGTCTCGTCGGGATCGGGATCGGGAACGGCGACCTCTTCGGGATCTAGCTCCTCCTCACATCGACTCGAAGCCGAACTGTGCGAGCTCTTGAGAGGAAGGAGATCGCCTGTGTCCATTGCTTCTCTGCCACAGCTGTACTCCGAGCGATTCGGTAAATCCCTGCAGGCGGAAGGGTACCTCACGGAGAGTCAGAGACATGGGAGAGTAGGGGGGTATAGTTTGACGAAGCTGCTCGCCCAGTTGAAAGATACTGTCAGACTAATCGAACGGTGAGTGTGTGCATGGGTCGGACCTTGAACTGAAATGGACGATCGTCATCAATCACTATAATTGAGTCTTGAAATGAAAACAGTGATCTTAAAGAAGAAAAAAAGAAAAAGAAGAAAAAAAACAAACAGTGATCTTCCCCGTATCCATGATGCTCATACGCTTTCGTTTAGATCTTCTCTCTCTGTGTGTCTCTCTCTCTTCTCTCTTCCTTTAGGTCGTTTTTCTCTCTTTTCTCTCTTCCTTTATGTGGCCTTTCTCTCTCTCTGTGCGTCTCTCTCTCTCTCTCTCTCTCTCTCTCTCTCTCTCTCTCTCTCTCTCTCTCTCTCTCTCTCTCTCTCTCTCTCTCTCTCATAGTCTATATATATATATATAATCCCTCTCTCTCCCTCTCTTCTCTCTCTCTCTCTCTCTCTTCCTTTATGTCGTTTTCTCTCTCTGTGCGTGTCTCGGCCTCTCTGTCTGTCTGTCTACCTACAGTCCTTCTCGGTTTATTCAAGGCCCCTGTTGTGTATGAACATCCTTCCCTAGGTGTCGATTTGATGAGCACGTTCGTCGCATCTCTCTATAGATCGCGTTTCTTTTTTTTTCTTTTTTTTTTTTTTTTTTTTTTTCGGTCTGATCTAGAGTACAAGACAGTGGTCTTCGTCAGACTTCCACGGCGCGCTGGGGAAGTCTGACCCTGCCTAACTGACCAGCGCTGTCGTTTGTTCCCCATCCCCCACTCCTTTTATCCTTTTTTCATACTCTTATTCCCCATTTTATTCTCTCATTCATCTGGTGTCATCATGTGGATTCGAGCATGGGTCCGTATTTCAACAGTCCATCATGGGTGTACCAACTGAGCTGTAGGCTCATTGGTGCGCTGTCGGTTTTCCAGAAGATTTTTTTTTTTTTTTTTTTTTTTTTTTGTCATATCAGCCAGGCCACGTGATGTACACGTCCTCCGTGGCTCATTGGGCCACCACCTTTTTTTTTTTTTTTTGAAATAACAAATAAAAATAAGGAGCACTATGTAGCTCCTCATTTCAGTGTTTGCGACCGCTATCGCGACAAGGAGCACGGGGATGCTTCAGTAAAA